GTGACGGAGAGGAGACGAGGAGGAGGACGAGCAGGAGGAGATGGAGATGGACGTGGAGGTGGATTCTGGACAGCGAGAAAGGTTCCCACCTCCACCAGCCCACTTCGCTCTCCCAGCCTACCCCCTCCAGACGGGGAGAGGAGAGGCTAGACTGGTCAGGACTTGATTGCTTCGTCTACTCCCCCGCTCTGTCGCAACATTGGCTCATGCTCGATTGCTCAAGGCTGCCCAGGCTGCCACGCGCCTGGCGCGAGAGAAACAAGTTGGCGCTATGCATCGCCTGCGCAACACAGAGGGCATGCCCACGACTCTGCTGCGAAAGCTGGCCTTGCGAATCCCGAAGGGACGCCCGCAGCAACATGCACAACATGTGCGCAACGCGCGTGCCAACATGACGTGCAGCGGAAACACATGAACACGTCCTCACTTGCGGGAAGGGGTGCCACGCCTATGGCGTGCTCCTGCAGGCTTGAGCACAGCAAGCAAACGCATGCCTCACTCGTTGCACCCTGCGGTCCAGCGTACAACTTGGCATTCTCTGCCGACCCGAGTAATCTAACCCAGGCTGGCATCATCTCTGCATCCTCCGTTCTCTTGCGCTTAAGGTACACAGCAGGAATGTTCGCCACAATCACCCTTGCATCTCGAAACGAACGGCTAGGGTTATTTTTGTAAATGAGTGCTTTGATGTGGCCCCGTGGCCATAAAGTCAGAGTCCTACCCATCTTCGAATCAGGGTTCTCCCAATACACATATCCGCCAGCCAATAGTGGCCACGTGGCTGGGCCTTAGCTGCTGGGTCGTGCCATGCCCTTCCGAAGCTAGGGAAAGCGACAGCCCCGACAGTTCTCCGATCGATCCCCATAGCGCCTCGAGAACATTGGCCCTTCCCAGAAGAGGCAACCACTGAGTGCATCGGGGTGCGTGGGAACCATCCAACAGCCACTCCCCCCACCCCCCAAGAATTGACCCTCTTGGGCCGGAGATCTGCCGAAGGCGGGTGTCGCCGCTAGGCGTCGTGATTGAACGTTGCGATCGCTAGTTTCGACTAATGACATCCCGCCTTTCCTGGGCGGCCTCAAATGGTCGGGCTCCCTCGAGTTGTCGAAGGCCTCCACAACTCGCGCTCGCATCGCTTCCCGCGTCGACGCGACAGCTGCCAATGCAGCCGCCCGCGTCTCGGGGCTGCTGGCTACGAGCGGAGTGTCAGGGCCAGGGTGCCACGCCGCGCCGCCGCGCCGCTGCCTGTGCAGCCGGGCGGGTCAGGCCCTGCACCGCCGAGCCGTCGGCCGGAGGAGCTCTCGTCTGCGATGCCTGGTGCGCCCGTCGTCGGCCGAAAACGTCCCCGGTGTCGACCATCCTCGTAAAGAACCCCCCCCCCCGCGGCTCGTCCACAGCGTCGCGAGAGCGTGGCCGACGTCGCGGCCGCCTCGATGCCCTCGAGTCTGGCGGGGAGCTGTCGCACTGCGGCGCGGTGCCGTGCTGGCGCGGCCGCGCCAGCGCCCGCGGGCGCAGCCTTGGCCGTCTTGAGAGCCATCGTGAGCCGTTGGTGCCCGCTGTTCTCAGAGCTCACAGCCGCCACGCCGTTGGACCACGAAAGCGATCTCCAGACCAAGTAGACAGGCTTCTTTGGGTGATCCTTGTATGTGCGGAGGAAGTCGATGCTATAGCAATAATCGAGCAGCGGGATTGGGTCTGGCCATCCTTCGTTCAACTTGAAAATCAAATTGCCTGCCCCGTCGTCGGAGCACACTCCCCTGCGAACAGTTACTTTGGTTCCATACGTAAAAGCCACAACAAACCCAGCAGTGATGACGTGCCCAGCCTTGTCGCTGATATCGTAGACAAAATCGGGGAGCTCGTCCACGATATGGTAAGCAGACAGCGCAGCCCTCGCGCAGTATAGCTTGTCGACTGGAAACACATGGGCGCACGACTCCACGAGCTTCTTCTCTGACGGCAACCCGCCGCCACCGACTGGGACCACGGCGCGGCAAAGGCGTTCTCGGTGCCATGCCGTGTCGGCCAGCACCGTTGCCTCGGAGCGAGGGCCGAGAGAAGAGAATGAGCCAGGAGAAAGATGCAGGAAAGGAGAAGGATGAGCGGGGTGCCTGCTCATCAAGATAGCAGCAATCCTCCACGGTCAACCTGAACTGCCTACTCTTGATGATCATGCGAGCGTTGGCCGTGGACGCTTTCATCGCTGGGGCTCGGTTAGCCATGCATTGAATCACGTTGTTGAAGCCCTCGATGTCTTGAGTGTGCCCTGATATCGAAGCCCTCAGCGACAAGCAGAAGCCGTACAACGCATGGTGGCATATGCCAAGTTCCTTGGCCACTCCGATCTCTGCGCGAAATGCTGCCTTGAACTTTATTGCAAAGTCTGAGAACTCATCCTGCAGACAACAGTCGTCAGTATCTAGCAACGCGGACGCCACCTCCCTCCGACGTGGACAATCAATGTCTGCAGACTTCTCGCAGAACGCAAGGGCCGCCAAAGGAAACGATGAGCACATCTTTGTGAACCGCATGTGCCACTGGGCCTGCGCCTTCAAGGTAAGCGCCATGATTAGGAGATTCGCCCGTGGAAGAGCAGCAGGAGGGAGTTCTGAAAGAGGGCCGCCCCATAGATCTGTAGTGCGAAACGCAGCAGGGTCCATCAACGCACGTATCTGACCAGCGACCTCCTTCGCCTTAAACTGCACAAGGTCGGACACAAACGTCGGGCCGAAGTACGACTGCCCATTCGCGACGGCATCGTCTTGATACTTGTTTGTTTCCCGAATGCGCTTCTGGGCCCAATTGAAATATCCCACCAGAGGATTCTTCGCAATGAGCGAAGCGGCCACCATGAATTGGAAACGACGGTCCCCCGACATAGCGCATGCGTTTGATATCATGGCCCTGGCGTGCGCCTGGTAGGCTGCGTCTTCATCGCCGCCGACTGCTGCGATGGTGACCTTCTTTTTATTCACATCCATCCACCTGCGGAGCACGGCGTGGACTAGCGGAAGCCTGCCCATCAAGAAAGCCTCGACGTCATCCATAGACCCCCATCGCCCCCGAAGGCATCGACTGGGCACGGTCGAGAAGTTGTTAGTCGCAACCTCGTCATCAAAGAGATCGACGGCCACGTCCCGCAACTTGCTCAGCATGCCAGTCGACCTCCAAAAGCCAGAAACCGCAGACACGCCAGAAAAATACTTCACCTGCATTGGTCCGTCTGGCCACTCGAATGCATCCAACGTTTTCAACATGCTTAGGACGATGAGGTGGTATTGGTGAAACAAGCAGAACGTTTTGAGTATGAAGAGTGTCGGGATGGGCGAAGCAAGGTTGCGCAGCATCCTCATCATCCCCTGATTGTCGCCGCCAGCGTCGAGACCTGTAGGGAAGCGCCTCCATCGTCGTCGCCCGCTTCCCCCCCCTTCTCCCCGCCCCCCTTCCAGCCACCCGATCCCCCCATGTCCTCTCGCTTGCGATGGCAGTCGGAGGGGCGAAGGGCTGACGCGGGGGGTCGGGGGCAAGAGAGGGGGGGGGGGGCGTGCGGAGACGATGAGAGCGATTCCCCGCACCGAACGAGTACATATAGTATTATCGGGCAGTGGGCGGCGCGGCTGCTGCTGAGCCTCCAGAAAGATCGGCTGCTCGCTCAGCAGGCGACTTCGCCCCCACGGAGAGAAACTGCTTCATGGTGCGGACGTAGTTGCCTTGCGACGACTTGTCATTGACGACAGCGAGGTCGCAGAACCCACGGGTGTAGATGACGTTTTTTTCGAACAGATCCAACGAAAACTTGCCGTCGTCAGCGGTTGCTTTGTCAATGTGGCTGGTCGTAAATGCCATCGTCGAGACGGTGCCCATCTGCACGGACTCCTTTTCGATGGCATTCTGGTGGGTTGCGTCGCCTTTGTACTCGCACACCAAAACTGCAAAGTCTGCGCCATTCACCATCGACGATTCGTGCCGCTGGTGCTCAATCCTGAGCCGCACTCTGTCGCACAAGGCAGCCTTGTGCTGAAACCTCGAGATGACGCCAGGATCCTTGAGAGCTCCATGAACCTCGGGGCCAGCCAGCATGGCCAGCGCACTGATCTCACTAACTTGGCCGTAGTTCCTCCTGATTGCCAAACTGTATCCGCCAAATGCTGACACCCGTCTCTTGTTGCTACCCCTGACGTTGATTTGCTGGACGATGGTGTCAAGCTGCTCTCTCGTAGCGTCGAGCTGGTTTGTTGTGCGGGTGAGTTTGCTGGCCAGTCTGCCATTCGCTCTTCTCAGGGACCGAATGACATCGTTCTTCTGCGAAATGTGCGACGTCATCTGCGCCAGCGTTGATACGAGCTCATCGCGATCCCAGGTGGTGTACCGTTCCACAAGCTCCAAGAAGTCAGGCCGTTCGTCAGCGTTGGGTTGTTCTGATTGTATGAGCTGGTGGTGGTCATCATCGAGAATCGCTGGACGTGGGGGTCGTGCTTGAGAGTGATCGAATATTTTGCTGAAGTCTTGGTCCGTGATGTTTGTGTCAAAGGCGTTGCCCATCACATCTCGAAACATATGTATGTCGAAACTGTCGCTGGCCCTGGGAACACCTCGACTGACGCAATATGAAATGATGCGACGCTTCACTGATCTATGCGATATCCCGTCGGAATCAGACAAACTGACAACCATATTCGCTGCATCTCTGTATGAAATGGAGGTGGCAGCGGTCAGCCCCCGTTTGGTAATGAAACGTCGAATGTCTTCGACGAGGGCCGCCCGAGACATTGTGCCAAAAACAGCTACCACGCTACATCCTCTCCGCCCCCCTCCTCTGACTCTGACCTCCCTCCCCCTAGCCTCTCATCGCTACCCTTTCCCTCCCCTGACCAGAACGCGCGTTCCTCATCCACCCTCGCTCTTTGATTTCTGCTCTCGCGTGCGACGTCGTGTTGGGGAATAATGCAGGGTCCACCTGACACAGTTTACTCTTTTGGCCTGCTTCGCAACCCTTCTATTATTATTCCGCCGCGCCCCCTTCTCAAGCTAAACGACGGGAGGCGAGCTGCTCGATAGTGCAAATAAGGAGCCGTCGAGGCCTGATAAAAAAACGTTTGCCCAGGAGGACCGCCTCAGATATCTCTACATCCACCCCCCGAGGGAGCAGTTCTATCGATATCCGAGGCGGCAGATCGATATGAAAAGTCCCCAGAAAAGCTTCGTTAACATGATCCTCAGCGGAGACCACCCCCGCTGCTGCGGAGGTCTCCGCAGCCGCGCGCCGTCAGCTGGAGTCGCTTGAAGGGCTGCGGCGCCGCGACAATGCCTCGAACGCGTCACGGTTGAACGCAAACGTGTCCGCAGGAAGCGGCGACTCCCTGGAGAGGAGCTGCGGCGGGGGAGGCTGCGGCGGCGGCCTCGGGACGAGCGGCGCTGCCAGAGGGCGGGGCGTCTGCGACTCTCTTGGCAGGAGCCGCTTCGGCGGAGGGTGCGGCGGCTGGCTCGGGACAAGCCGCGGTGGCGTAGGGTGCGGTGTCTCCTCCAGCGGGGGGGCCCCGCGGCGTCCTCCCCCACGCGGGGGAAATGGCGGTGGTGGTGGCATCATTGGCGGCATGCCTGGCGGACGGCATATCTGGCCTGGGAGGAGCGGGCGCCATGCCCTCGGCCTCAGCATCACCTGACCTGTGCGGGGGGGGTGCGCGGGCGGCGCGGGCAGGAACCGCCCTGCCCACGCCGCCCTGCGGTCGCCGCCCTCCACCTGCCCACTGCGTCTGGAGCGGCTGCGCCCCCTCTGCTCCTGCCCTCTGCGTCTGGAGCGGCTGCGCCCCCGCTGCTGCGAAGGCACTCTCCTCATTCGGTCTTTGCTCCTCTGCTCCCGCTTTCTGCGTGTGGAACGGCTGCCCCCCCGCCGCTGCGAGGGCTTCTTCCTCTTTGGGGTTCTGCTCCTGATATCTTTCTTCTTGTTCTTCTTCTTCTTCTTGTTTTTCTTCATCTTCTCCTTCTCCTTCTTCTCCTCCCTCTCGCCTCTGTCAGGGTTGCTCTGTTCGTCCTGGGGCGGCGTGAGGCTGCAGGAGTCGATCCAGAGCGGGGCCTCGTCGCCCTCAAGCTCCTCCTGGGCTCCGTGCGCCCCCGCTGCTGCGGGGGCTGCTGCTTCAGATTCTGTCTCCGCCTCCTCCTGGTCTCCGTGCGCCTCCGCTGCTGCTGAGGCTGTTGCTTCGGGTTCTGTCTCCGCCCACTCTCCCCGCTGTGTTTCCCACTTGGCTTCCCGCTTCCGATCCTTTTTCCTGGCCGCGGCGCCTTTGCCAGACTTCCTGTTCTTGGCTTCTATAAAAACGAACAATGTGTGGCAATGTTCCGCGAGGCGTCTCGCATCCTGGGCCTTGTGGATCACCCTGTGCAAGTGCGGCCAGTCATATGCATCCTGCTCCTTGCGCTCCGCGTCCGTGAGCCTGACCCAGGTCGGACGCGCCACCCAATCCAACTGGCGGTACTGCAGGCTGGTGAGGAGCCCCCAATGCTGCGGAGGCTGGGAAACCTGATTCAACCAGTGCGGCAGATCAGGCTGCCCGCCCGCAGGGCACTCGCGAACCTGAGCGGGGCCAAGAATCACGATGTAGTGCGGGTGCGTCACGTGACAACCTTTTGTCGGACTCCACAAAGCCAAGCCGAGTACGCCTGTACCAGACGCGCCGCAACTTCTGAGCAGCTCCGAAAGATCCTCCCTGCCTGCGTCAAAGATCCCAGCGAGAATACGCACTCGGTTCCACAACGCCAGGTTCCGCAGCCCGTTGCGGAAGTTCTCGGGCCACGGTTGCCCCGCGAGGCTCGTCTGGTGTCGGAAGAACACGCCCCCCACTGCTATGGAGAGTTTGCCTTCCTTTGCTTTCGGATTGTGAGCCACCGCTGCCAGGGTCACCGACCAGGCCTGAACCAGGAACTTCCCGTGGCAGTGCCAGCGAAGCACCTCGCACTGCTCGACGCGCTCGGTAGCCCAGAGGAGAGCCCCAACGCACTCGCGCGCGACCTCCCCGTGGAAGCCACTGTGGCGGATGAGATCGTCGAGATGTTGCTTCCGCCGATCGCGATTGATGCGTGCACCAGGCTCGAAGGAGACTAAGACGACCCCTTCGCGCCTGCCCCTGACAGCTGCGACCCAATCCGACAGGGGGGCGCCCGCGCGCAGGACGAGGGAAGCAAAAGCCAGATTCACGCGCGCCTCTGTCTGCCCCTCCTGCACCTGGTCTTCGTCGTCGTACAGCAGGGGCACAAGGCTTGGAATGGCTCGGGCCGCGCTCTTCCGATGGGAAGTGCGGGCGGCCTTCCTCTGGGAAGCCCTCTTGGACAGGAAGCGCTGGCGACCGAGCCTTCGAGGTCAAGGCGAGAGTCTTGATCACGCGGGCCCCCGCTGCTGCGGAGGAGCTTTCACGCAGTTTGCGTGCTGCGATCAGAGCCTGCCGATGTTGCCAATTAGTCGTGCAGGGAGATCTCGGTCTCGGGTCATCGGAGCCACCCTGTCAGGGCTCGATTACCACTGTTGCGGCGCCTGGCTCCACGGATGCCCCCGCTGCTGCGCAAGCCGCCTCCTCAGCCGTTATGACTACAAGGCGGTTGGCGGCGGCCGTTAACTTCCGCGCATCTTCGATCAGGCCATTCTGCATCAATTCCTGGGCAACCAGCAGGGTCTGCGAAACGCTTTCCTGGGCATCAGACATCGACGAAAACAACGACCGCAGTTTCGTTGCAACCTCCCCCCCCGCTGCTGCGGAGGCCGGTGCTGGATCTGCCATTCCATGCGGAACTGCATCAGGGGCCTCCTCTGGCAGCCCCCGCTGCTGCGGAGACTTCGGCAGAGGTTCCTGCGCGGCTCCAGTCGCGCCAGGCTGCTCCATGCCCTGGGCCGCGCCCGTCGCGGAGGCGGGCGGGCGCGGCGGGGGGCAGACCTGCAACGGCTGCGGATTCACTTTATCGCAATGCCATCCCTCCCTGCGCTCAAATGACTTTTCCCCTTGCGCCACTCTGCTGCTCCCACTTCTGAACTACCTCATCCCGTCTACCTCTGCCTGCTCCCTCCTCTTCCTGTTCAGTCCTCCCTCCTCCCTCCACCGCGCTCATTTCTCCTTGCTCCCTTCTCTGCTCCTCCTACGTGGGGCGTTTCACGACAACGACGACGACGACGCCGACGA